TTTATCTGCTGAAAGAGGAAAGTTTCTTATCTTTATTTTATTACGTATATATTTATATTTATTATGAGGGAGAAGGAGGTCTGCAGGTGATCTTTAACTTTAACAATCAGTAACACTGACTTCATAATGATTGTAGATTATTACCGCTGATAGAAAATAAAAGCATCTACTGCACTGAAGCAGGTTCACTCGTCTTTTCTGATTTATTTAGACCTCCTCTGATCCAGCTGGATCTGCTTTGATCCAGTTCTGGTCTGCATTAATGGAGACTCACACTGCCACCTGCTGGCCAACCTGAGCTACTGACACACTGATTATATGTCCTCATTGACACTTTATTTCTCTGTTCCTCACCTGTTCCACCCTCTCCGCTGTCCTCCCTCCTCTCAGAGGTCCAGGTTCCGGGACTTTGTCTCTCAGTCTTGTTTTTCAGTTTGTTTCAAGTTTTCAGTTTGGAGGAGGAAGGTAAACCTGGATCCAACTAGACTGAAGTAGACTAGACCAGAATGAAGTAGACTGAACTAGAGTGCCACCGTAGACACCCTCAACCACTCTGCTGTAGTTAAACCTCTACTGGGTTTCATTTACTTATTTCCTAGTTAAACTCTTCTAGTTAAACAAATGTGTGTTTGCACTCAGTCCTCAGCTTTCTCAGATGAAGATGAGAGGTTCATCTTAAACAACACGCGACCTATGACCCCTCTGGTCCTCAACCCCGTCCCCCCCACCTCCTGCTGGGATGCCTTCGCCCCGGCCTACGAGCCAACAGTGGACGTGGAGATGGAGCTGACCCCCCGGCTTCCAACCCCGGAGGAGAGGATGAGACAGCAGGCTGAGGCCATCGGAGCTGATATAGTCCCTATTAATATCACAGGTAGGTGACTGGACTAATTAATTAATTGATTAATTAATCGCAATAAACAAATCAAAAGAATGCCGAAATAACGACATCATGATGGCAGTTTGTAAAAGGTCTGAATTCTTTCATTGTCGGGTCTGTCAACAAGACGACAAGCAAACGACTTTTAAAATGCTTGTTTTCTGAATGGAGTTTGGTCCAAGACGTCCTTTGTCTGTCCTCCATTGTGGGATTTTTAAGGTGGAATTGCTTTATTCTGTGTTTTTAATCTTCAGGAGAGAGTTTCGATCGTCAGGCCAGTTTTCGAAGAGTTGTTTCCAACACTGACTCGTTATCCCGGCGCCCCCGTAACCTGAGCCGCCGCAAGACGGTTACTGGGATCCCTGATGACGTCAGCCAGAAACTGAGTATGAGCGCCATCCATTGATTAGCACCTCCTTTATCAAAAGTACTTCTCCTCCTTTATCTCCTCTGTTCTTAACTCCTGTCTCTGCAGACTCGCCGTTGGTCTCTTTGGTTCTTCCCGGTCAGTTCTCCACTGTCGGTCGACCCGCCTCCTCCTCTGCCCACCACCAGAAGAACACTGAGGAGGAGGTTGAAGAGCAGGAGAAGGGAGAGGTCAGAGAGGAGGCGCCGTCATCCTCGAGGAGGATCCGAGCCCCGAGAGGAGAGGGGATGTCTAGCCTCATGGCCTCCCTTACCTCCAGCCCGCTGGTCAGCCCCTGTCACGACCGCTCCTCCTCGGAGGTCCACAGCCTCCCCCGTCTGGCAACCAACTCCTCTCTGAACTCCGAGGTCAGCTGCAACAGCGCCTCCTACGGGACACTCAGTGCCTCCTCGTCTTGTTGCCAGGTCAGTTTAGGAGAAATCAATGTCGCAGGTAGCTCAGTCACTAGAACAAAATCTAAACTTTATGTTTTTCTTTCCGGTCACAGGATACGCAGGGTTTCCCCAGCGACGTCCAGCCCCTGCTGCCCTTTGACCCCACCGCCAGAGTCATCCCTCAGTCTCCTTCCTCCTCCTCCTCTTCTATTCTTTCCTACCCCGTCTCCTCCTCCCGCCCAGGCACCCCCAGCCGTACCGTGCAGTCAGAGTGGTCTTACCCAAGCGATAAGCCCCTGAAGGAGGCTACCCACTATCACAATTCTCCTTCCTCCTCCCACTACCTCTCCTCTTCCTCCATCGCAGACTCAGAGTCTCAGTTTAGCTACCAGGCTCTGGATGACCAGACCGCCGCCCAGCAGTGCTCCTACAGCGGTGGCTCCTACAGCGGAGGCTCCTACAGCGGGGAGGCGTGGAGCTACCAGTCCCTCTCCCCCAGCTCCAGTATCCACAGCAGCCAGACCGTGGGCGACTGGAGCGGCCTCACCCAGGAGATGAGATGTGTTTCTGGGGAATGTTGGAACTGTGACCCCCTGCTCTCCTCCGGTCGCTCTACTCCCTCTCACGCCGACAGCAACTCTTTGTGTTCAGAGAAAATGACCTCCTCTCCGTTCCTAAACCGGGAGAGAAGGAAGCACAGCATCTCCTCCATGTACTCCCGCAGCGCCTCCCGCAGCATCTCCCTCCGCAAGTCCAAGCGCCCGCCTCCTCCACCGTTGCGCTCTGACTCTCTGAGGCGCCGTCCGGGTCGCAGCAAACCCCCTCGCTCCTCCTCCAGCCCCCGCTCTTCCTCCAGCCCTCGCCCGGAGCACGCTTCCAAGCGGACTCCCACATCGTCTCCTCAGACCTTCGACGACCCCTGGGTGCCCAGGAGCAACACCAACAAACACCAGAGTGAGCTCAACTGCGGGACAGTCACAACCTTTGAACCTTTGGGTCCGGACTGCCAGGCGCCAACCTGCGTTGACTCTCCTCCTTCTGAGCACCTGCCATCAAGCCCTGGCCACTCCCCTGCTCATGTCTTTACTCCTGGGTCTCCAAGCTCAGAAGAGGAGGCGCTGAGATTTACACTCAACCCCCAACCAGCTGCCTTGTCCGTGGCGGGCCTGCAGCGCCTCGCTTCACCCTCCAGCGGCTACTCCAGCCCGTCTAACACCCCAAC